CAGGCATATTCTGGAGGTGACACCTGTGGAAAGGAACTACATGGATTGAGGTCTCTGAATTCACAGCTTTTCAGCAACACATTCCCCATGAGTACTTTCACCAGTGCTCTTTTTCATCTTGATTTTATTACAGTTTTCAGGACAGCTTTATTGAAGAAACGTTATTTAAGGTATCGTCATTCTATTGTACAATCCCGATAATATAAGTAGTAAATTTTTGGAGGATTTAACTCTGGCAAGCCATACTTAAGGTAAAAGTATCGAGTTTAATCATTTTTGGTGTACAGTTTAGTAGCTTTAAGTACATTCACATTATTATGCAACCAACAATACTATTTGCAGAACTCTTTTCAGCTTACAAAACTAAACTTTGTGTCATTAAACAATAACTCCATATTCTCAAATACCTGCTGTCGCAGAGAACCATCCATGTAATAACTCACAGAGACTTTCTGTTCCTATGAATTTGCCTATTCTAGGTACCGCATAGAAGTGGAATCATACCATATTTTGTATAATTATGACTGGCTATTTTCTCTTCACATAATATCTTCAAGTTTTACTCATGTTGTAGCATATGTCAGAATTTCCTTTCTCTTAAAGATTGAATAACACTCCACTGCATGTATCCACCACATCCTGTTCATCCTACTGCTCAGTCAAGGGACACTTGGGAGCTTCACCTGTGGATGTTTTGGATGCTGCTGCTGTGCACAGTGGGGCACAAATATCTCTACAATACCCAGGTTTCATTTCTTTCGGGTCATATGGTAATTCTCTCATTAAGTTTTTGTGGAGGAACTATACTATTTTTGATAGTGGCTGCATCATTATACATTCCCACAAGAAGTGCACAGGTTTACTGATTTCTCCACATTCCCATCAACACTTACTATTTGCTAAATCTTTGGAACAGCCATCCTAATGGGTAGAAGGTGATGTCTCATTGAGGTTTCATTTGCATTACCCTAATGATCATTGATGATGTGAGTGTTTTCAAGTGTTAAGCCATTCTTTATCTTTTCTGTTGAAATGTTCATTGCAGCACTATGCACATTTTTAACCAGTTTTTGTCCTTTTTCTTTATGTTATTGGGTTTTAGAAATACTTTATATATTTTGGACATTAACTCTTAAAAGATATATGATTCCAAATATTGTCTGCTATTCTGTGGCAGAAATTTAACCTACATTACCCTTAATTAACCTTCACACTCTTGATAGTGTCCTTGGATGTACAATCTTAACTTTGATGAAGACCAATATATCTATCTTTGCTTTCATTGCCTATGCTTTGAGTGTCATATAAATGAAATCATTAAATCCAAGTCCAAAGTCATGAAGACTTTCTGTAAATAGTAAATTATAATTCAGCAGGTCAGTCCGATATTCCTAGATACATTTTCTATGAGCCATTCAGCCACCAGAATTATTTGAAATATGAAAATCCTCTTCCCTCTTCTAAGGTTTTCCAAACCACCAAGGAAAGAGAAACCAGAAAATTAATTTTCAAACTTTGTAAGTGTCAGTTAATTTAAAGAATGCATTAGTGCTGGGTCTTGAGTGGGAGACACGTTGT